CTCTCGTGTGTGTGAAAAGTTGATGAAATCTGCTTGGACTTCCTCTATTTATAGCTAAGCTAAGCTCCTCGATCCAGCTCCACGTGCTCAGGGCGGTTCCGCGTATCTTGGGCACGATCTCGGCATATCCCCCGTAAATCTTGTTCCTACGACTGAGATAACCGCTCTGTTGACTCGCTCTTACCTCACTCCCGGTTCGTTATTCTCACACCTGTTGACTCGATCTTTTCGGGGCTGACCTGGGCCTTAAGTCAACCTGCCTCTAACTCCTCGGGTTTGGGCTGTAGGTCCATCGATTCTGGTGAATTTTTTGAGGACAATAATCTTTGACCTAGGCTTTTATGTGGGCCGGATTTGGTGATGAATCCAGCCCCAATAGTTGCCCTCAGCCCATTAAGTATTTAAATAATAATACTTGATGGGCGATGATTCAATGTTATCTTCTCGAATATCTAGCATATATATTGTGAGCAAGTATACTCTATGATCTTGTTAAATAGTTCGGTTATTGTCTCAACGGACGCGATTCGATAGGTCAGAGTAAAAGGGGGAGGTGAAAGATCTCCACCGTTTCAACGGCTGGATCTGTTGGGCCGTATAAAACTACCTTTCACACGTCTCCCTCATTCATCTGTTCATACTCGAATTCCAAGGTAAGAAAATAATCTCTTATCTCTTTTACTCTCGCATTTTCATTGTTTTAACTCGATCTTCTTCTTCAAGGATCTCGGTTTTTACTGTTTGAACTCAGATCTGACTTTATTCGTTGGCCAGACACTTTGAGGTTTCTTTTGACTGTGGTCGTTTATCGATTCCTCTCAATTTTTGCTTTTCACCCCTACTCTATCTCTTTACTGTTCTGATGAGCTCCGACGGAACTCGTTCTGGATATCCTCCCAGGATCTGTCAGACCTTCGGGAGGAATTGGGATTCCCAGATGAGGTTGAGCTATTACCGGTTCACGCCGGCGATACACCAAAAATGGTCAAACCTACGTGGTGTTGCGCGCATCTAAGCTATTTTCGATTCCCCTCTTTCTTATTCGCATTTCTTGGACATTTAGGACTCGCCTTCCCTCGAATGAACCCTAATTTCCTTCTCCACATGATTGGCTCATTCGTCTAATGCTACAAGATGGGCTCGGACATGTCTACCTCTGATTTCCTAGACCTGTACATGGCCAAAAGGAACTCGAGATGTCCTGGCCGCTTCTATTTATTGAATCGGGCAGGTAGGCAGATAGTTATTGGGACAGCCCATATCAAGGATACGAAGTGGCAGAAAGAATATTTTTCTTCAAAATATCTCCCGTCTCAGTTTTTTCTGTTGATGTGTTCAATTTCCTCCCAATTGTTTTTGCTAACTCTATTGGTTAGAATCCTCTGTATGTGCCCCCACTGCAATGCTCGAATTTCACCTTTCTGTAATCTCTCTCTTTTGTTTCAATAGATAATCTGACGGAGAACGAATTGACCAAAGCACTCTTATCTCTGATAACTCAGTTGCACAACAGACCTATTCACTGCAGCTCATTCTCGTTGGAAAGAACAAGGTTACACGCTTCTTCGGAACACCGGAGGGCCTGGCCCACTTGTTTTGTCATTGGAAGCCCGCCGGGTGCCCCATACCGCTAGTCAATGATCTGCTCCTTCGCGACTGCTATGTCACCATGACCTCGGCATTCGGGAAAGTTATACTCGGGGTGCCTGATCTATATATCTGGGTCGATTCACTTTAACTTGCTCTTAAATCCTCACTATTTCGCTTTTCTCAGGCGGTGGAGTATGCCAACCGAGATCCGTCTCTGCAACATTCCCCAGAAGGAGGAGGTTGAGGACATGAAGAGGGTCCTGGAGAACATGGCTTCTGATCTGAATGCATTGAGGGCCAAGGAAACCGTGCTGAAGGCAAGGTTTGTGCTCTTCTCGGATTAGGCTGATCAGGTCACCATGCTCCAAGGGACTGTGGCGGACCTGGAGAGTCAGCTCAGTCAGGCCAACGAGAAAGCTGCTTTCCTTCTCGAGGAAAGTGGCAGTGCAATTCAACAGTGGAAGGACTTGTCCAAACTGAATCAAGGGTTGGAGGTTGAGTTGAGAGCCTTGAAGGCTACTTATGAAGTGAAGGTGAAGGCGGCTTGCCACTGTGGTCGTTGGGATCTGGCCAGTGAGTTCGATGTCGTCCTCCAACTTATAAGCGATACGTTTAAGAGGAAGGAGGGCGAGATTACTGCCAAGATTCACCTTCAGGAACTTCATGCAAACAACTAGCTGCTGGAGGCGCTAACTAAGCGGTCGACTACTATTGAGGAGGAACAGAAGAAGTTGAAGGCTGAGCAGCCGCTGTTTGAGAAGACATTCGAATCTTCCAAGATGTCTGACTTCTCGATCATCAAGCTGCCGCTCCCTTAGATCTCGGAGGACTCCGTTGTCGCGGCTATGGATGTTGACCAGGCGGTGCCCGATGGTGAAGGCTTTGAGCAGTAGGGGAACCTGCTCAAGCTGACCCTAATGACCCTGGCGCCGTGGGTGAAGCTTGATCCCTTTCTCTCTCTAATAATAAGGCGCATGCCCTTCTCTATCATTTTGGTTTTTCGCTAGTTACTCGTGGGGGCTTTAAACTTTGTTTCTGCCCTTTTTCTTGGGCTTTTCGAACTTGTTTCTTTTCCTTGCTCGGCCCGTTAGGCCTTTGAATGATATTTCGATTTACTTTATAAGGCCTTGCCCAACCGTTGTTAAAAGATCGAGTTTGTGCGTACTGATAAATCCTCGTCTCCAAGGTCAATACTCATGTTTCAAAAAAAAAAGGTCAATACTCACTAACACGAGTTTTGAAAATCTACGGATCCCAGACTCGATCGACCATATTGTCAAAACAACTTGAGAATCTTCATGTTTCAAGGAAATCACCGAAGAACATCAAATCTTCACAAACATTGATATTACGGGAAATTAATTCAATTATAGGTATGATAAGATTTGTGAATCAGTTTCATTTGCTGACTTGTAAGGGAAGATTTCGTCATATATAGTTCATGTGGCAGAGTCAAATTGAAGATTGTTTCTTACGGATGTTTTCCCTTTAATTTATACAACATTGGAGGGAAATGCGATTGTTAGCACAAATAACTGACACGCCAAATACTTACCTTAAATTTAATTGATACCTATAACTTCTTAAGAATAATGTATACCTATTAAGACTTCAAAACTTAGTAGTCAACAACTCAACAATAACTAATCTGTTACCAAAAATAAATAACATGCCAAATTAACTCACTAGTAGAAATAAAGTTTGCACCAAGAGAATTTATAAACATAATAAATATCGCGCCAAATTTTTGAGTTGACTACATAGCTAAATATATTAACAAGAGCAACACAATCTTAGGTTGTTCAACTGTAATTTTTGACATTGTAAGTTCAGGTATCTTTACATAATTTTCTCAAAACAAATTACACAAAGTTTATGTTTAAATTCCATTTCCTCTACAAACTGATGAAAATCATTTTTCACAAAATATGTTTTTCTTTTCATCGAAAAATGATCGTTTATGAATTAAATATGTTTATGTGTAATGTGTAGTTTCTTTTATGAATTAAAT